CAGAGCCACTGAAGTGTTCCTGAGATCAGAAAGGAGGATCGACTTTATTTTCAAATAAGCAGACGCTGTGAGAACTACATTGGTGAGTCAATGAATTTTATTTTACATTTCTTCTTGTCATTTTATTTCGTTAGTATTAAATTCATGGTAACGAAATAAAATGACAAAGATACAAACATGTATCAAATAAATCTGCTCACCTGCAATTTATAATGGCGCATTGTAGTCACCTTCGTGCACGAAAGTTCGTTCAATCTCAGCTGTTAGTCAGTTATTAGTTAGTCAGTTATGTCAGTTATTTGCTGTTGTATCGTCGATTTTCAAAATGCAAATGATCTGTTTACTTTATTTTCAAAGAACAGTTTGTTTTGTTATTGTTTGGTTGGTGTCTTATTTGAAACTGCGACATTGCGCAATTTATTGGACAGACTTGTTTAAGATCACACAGCGTAATTTGGGTGGCATTTTATTTCGTATTTGTAAATCATCTTTTTATTTTTGACTATCTGTAAATGTAGTTTCCTGTTCTTAATTGTGAATGCATACTTGATGGTTTTAAATGCTCCTGAAATTAAGTGCTGCTTGACGAGCCTATACAGTACAGTATTGTGTTCATAATATGTGACGTCACTGAAGGCCTAAGGTTGAAATGCACGGCCCGCCACTGACTTTAGTTATTGTGCTTTGGCTTTTTTTTTAATACCTTTGTTGGCTTCATTAAAACTGTTCCTGTGTTTCTGACTTGATTTTTTTGGTAGGTAGTATCACATTTCTCATGCTACACAGTAAATGGGAAAACAATGAACTACTGAATACTGACAAATTAGTGAACAGATCATTTCTCCATGTACAATTTTGTGATTGTGAGTATATTGTAGCTAGCTCATTACTTTGCCAAGTTGGGCATTCCATCAGTATTGACACATGGTCTATTGATCCATCACTAACAGAGGCCTATTTCTCTGACAAATGACAGGAAACAAAAAAACAACTGATGTGGGTTTTCAGAGGGTTTTCACCCATCTCTGTAATTGTCACTAACCGGGTTAGTACCAACAGACCTCAATCTCACGTTTTGCTGACGACTGATGGAAACACGCCGCATGTCTCATGTGTGTTTCTGCGCGGGGGTGACTCCAGCAAGGTTGCTTCAAGTGGAGAAGATGACGATCTGCTCGTCAATCTGGTGACTGTAGTGGTTGTGTTGGGGTTTGGGGGGTGCCAATTTACTTCCAATATTGTCAATACTGCTAGACCCATTCTAGCTACTGTATGTATCATGCTCGAGGCCTGAAGTCAGGTACACCTGGCATTTCATTTATCAACACGAGATACATACAAAAAGAGGCTTGTGAGATGCAATTTACTGTGCAAAGTATGTGAATTATTTAAAAAAAAAAAAAAAATGGAATACACCCTACTGAGGGTGCAGACTTGGCCAAGGTGTTACACACCTAGGAGGAAAATCATACTGCCCCTACCAGAAGGAGTGTGATCCCCCTGCACCACACCCTATGGTCCCACTTCTTAAAAATGAGAACCACTTCCCCGTTCTGCCAACTCAGAGACACAGTTCCTGACATACATATGTAAATGTGCTGATCTGAAGTCAGGAGTGCCCCATCAATTCTATACACAGTGTTGATGGTGCATTGCTGCTTCCACCTCCTGAACCACCCAATTGTTGATCCAAATTTTCTTGAATCTGTCTAGGAGTCATTCCCCGCCAACCATCTCACACCGCACCTAACCCACTTTGCCCCTCCCACAACTGAGCAACCCAAAGGAGGAGGTGTTATGATGCAAGGTGTCAAACTCATTTTTGTCGCAGGCGACTTTGGTTCAATTATTGTTCAAGTGAGTGTAAACCAGGTCACAAAGTTATTGCAAAATGTCACCATTATTTATTACATTTGACAATTTGAGATGTCGGTACAGATTAAAGCAAGGGTCATGGAAGTTGACACAAATGATTTGCTTTCGCGGGCCACATAAAATGATGTGGCGGGCCGGATCTGGCCCCCGGGCCTTGACTTTGACATCTGTGGCATAACGATTCTCCTTCTGTTACAGAGGACATTAAACCCGTCAAATTCAAGTGAAGGTCATCCCTTTTACATTGGTGGGGTGCAAAATCATTCTGAACCCATTCAAAACAGCACTAAATGATGTAAAAGCTGTGAGTGAATACCTCTTCTTTGGTCTTTTTTGACAGCACCCTCAACCAGTCGCCAATCATGTTTAGTACTGCAGCAAAATAGGCCAGACCACCCAGGATCCAGAACCACACCAGAGGTCTATACCACTTGCGGTACTCAATCCTCCGATTTCCGCCTGAGAGAGAAAAAAAAAAAATGCCACAAATAAATAAGTGTCTCTTTCATTCATCCATTTCCAATACCGCTTGTCCATATTAGGTGCGTGTCTAACTGGAGCCCATCCCAAAATGACTTTGCACGGGGGCGGGCTATAACCTGAACTGATAAGTGTCACATTCTGGAATGTAACGTAATCCCGTATCCGGGTAACGCTGTTCATTAAAGTCAACATTTTTATGCGAAATGACAGCTCACGAGCTCTTTCATTGAAGATCATATAATGTATGCATTGTTATGGTCTGTTAAGGTTGCAATAGTTTGAGGCTAATGTCCACAAGCACGTGTGATAATGAACTGGTTAAAACATGGGTTTAGCAATATTGTCGCGTATATTTTTGAAGAGAATTTGTTATAACATGCCCGATTTGAAAAAAAATTTGTTTCATTAAAGACACCAAAACTGACCGTCGAGCTATTCTCTCGAAATACAGTTTTCTTGTCAATTTCAGGGCACATTTCTCTCCCCTGAACAATTTAGAATCTTCAAGTAACATGAACAAAAGGAACGTTTTTGGAATGTAGGAGGAGCTGGAGTACCCAGATATAACCTAAACAGTTTTATAATAATCCAAATCCATAATCCAAGATGGCTCCGTCGTTGGCAGCCATCAGCAAGAGCTTTTTAAGAGCTTTGCTTTTTGTTGTTTCTGTCTTTTGTTTTGTCATATGGTGTTTGTTGTCCTTCGTGTGGACCCAGTGTGGATTGGTTTCAGAGTTTTGGCCATGACATTCGTCGAAGGAGAAGAATCTTGATGGGTGCGCCTTCTAAGGAGCACCCATCAAGGATTGTGAGTTCAGCGGGGGAATGTCGGTGCTATTTGACTGCCGCCGCTTGACAGCCCCGGGGTGCTTGTGCTTTTTGCGCCTGGAATGGGCAGCATTTTTCACAGCCCCGTTTTGTTCAGCGGAGATGTCGTCGCTGTTGGACAGTCTGCCTTGGTGCGGCTGATGGAGCCGCAATGAGAAGAGGGGAGCGTCGGCGTGGAGCATGGATGCGGATTTGGAACTGAGAATCGCCGCTTGAAATGGAAGCGGATTTACATGGGACAAGAGAAGTGAACCGAACCAATCTCTTTTCGTCAATGGACGCTACAGCTTTGTGTTTACTTTCAAAATGAGCTTGTTGCAGATGTGTGCACATTTTGAGCATGACGTCTCTGATCCACTAGTGAAAGGGCACTTTGATTCTCTCCTCTTTCCTCTAGAACTGATTCCAAAGCATGTGCAGGAAGAGTGGTTAAGATTGCAAGACTGTCCGTATCTTAAGTGTTGTGTTTTGTTATATTATTTTATTTTATGTTCACTGTTCTGTAAAGCGCTTTGTTACAGCTGCAGCTGTTGGGAAAGCGTAATATAAATAACGATGTATTTTATTGTATTGTAACTTGGGGAGAACCTAGAACTCTAAATACCAGCTCACTGTGCTGCCCACACCAGATCAACTTTATCAAAAATATTTACGCCACATAAGCATTGCCACTAATTTAGATTTCTTTGTGTTACAGTAGAAACAAATGTTTCACCTGCCACATAGTCTCCTATCCCAACAGTTGTCAATGTGATGACGACAAAATACGTCGACTCCAGAGCTGTCCAACCTTCGATGTGTTTGAAGATCACAGCTGGGATGGTCACAAACAGGATGCAGCCGGCCAGGATGAAGAGGAGGGTGGATGCCAATCTGATTTTAGTTTGACTGATTTGGTTGTGTTTGTTCTATGGAGAAACACGCACACGCGCACGCACACACACACACACACACACACACACACACACACACACACACACACACACACAAACACACACACACACACACACACACACGCACACACACACACAAACTAATTGATTTATACCCCAAAATATTGATTTTATCAGCAAACTAACCATTTTAAGAAAGTTAAGCCTCCAAAAATAAATGGAGTCAGATGCTAACAGATTGTGAAGCTAACCTGCTTGTTGGCCCGTGTTTTCGACTAAACCCTGACGATCATCAATCTTCCACCAAAGCAAACCGCAATGGCATCGATATTGAGGGTAGCTCAATCTAAAATGGGATGCGATAGTCGCATTCCCTGATTAATTCCTGACCGACAGGTATCGATTTGCATGTAGCTCAGTCACGTATCTGAATAACATCTTCCCATCCTTGGATCTTTAATATCTCATAGCACAGATGTGCTGACAAGGATGCAAATTTTGAGCATCGCACATACTTAGTACAGTGGTTTTCAAAATCTGTTGGTTCCATAATTGGCTATTGTTATTTATTACTATATTTATTATTGGTCTTGTGGCGCAAACTACAACAGAGAGAGGCCAGACATGGTTTGAACAGCTGTTGCCACAGGTATCCAGGCAGGGGTGATGTTCATGTCAAAGGCAATGCATAGGCATATATGGCGGTCATGTTGGCTCTATCTATCTATGTGTATATATATATATATATACACATGTACGTATGTCTGCATTGCTGTTTGTGGACTTCTCAGACAGTGTTGTGATGGCCATGACACACACTTCGCCTCTGATGCACAATTACACACTCAGGGTTGGGGTCGCTGGTGAGCGATGTTTCCCAATCTGTGGTGAAAGCTGATGGGCTCAACTCCAGTGAAACTTTTTTTTTTCTCAAAAATTAATAAAAGTCCACTCTGAATGCAGTTGCCCATCCCTGCTTTAAGATGTATTGAATCTCTTTTGCAGCTGCATGCACCATAAACTGCCACTTCAAAATGAACTATTAGCTCCATTAAAATACATTGTCTGTGCTCTGGGAATCCTCTTCTCCACTCAATTAGCTTCCCTCGGCATGTGTGTCACTCTCCTCCCACCGATTACCCCCACACCTCTCCCCCCGAGTGAAGCTCAGGGTTCTGTCATGCAAAATATTTTTTGCCAAATCAAATTTGAATGGATTGGAGGGATGACAACCATTTGCGATGAATGGATTTGCAAGGGATTTAGGTTCTTCTTGGCAAACATCCCCGCTCTAAGACACCACCAAAAGAGAGAGGGGCTACGCAGCCACGCATATCTCCGCTATCACTGCCGAAATATTGCATATTCCGACCATGTATTTCATGCATAACATGATTGGATACATCCAGCGGAGATATGGCAGGCTTGTTTTTAATCTGGTTACTTGTACATCTGTATCAACGGAACTGAGAGCCAAGTTGAGGTTGGATGATATATTGTTTTGTACATATTTTACCATCAAAGCGAGATCCCAGTTTATTTGTGAAATGGGGGATGCTGCCTCAGATGGAAGGCGAGCGTGAGATTAGTCCTTCATTTGAACTTCGGTGGCAAAAATAGAAAGGTAACTCATGGTACAAAAGGATTACCATCCTCCAGAAATGAAAAAAAAAAAAAGCCTACGTTGTATAGATCTGGTCGTATGTTCTTGAGGTTATCTTGAGCCGACAGTCTCCTAAGTGTTCTTGTTCAGAACATGACGGCAATGTGTTAGCCAAACTAGGCTGTCTCATTTAGACCTCAAAAACTAAATGGCTGCTCCATTGCACTTGTGTTTATTCTGCTTGTCCCCAGTGCATCTTTTGGGCCTTTGTTTCTTATATATATATATATATATATATATATAGCGATAGCGATAGCGATGGCTGTTTGAAAGTGCTTTATAAATACAGTTGAGTTGAGTTGAGTATCAAAGGTAATGAAAAGCATCGACATTATCTTAGTGTCGCCAAAGGCACTCAGCTCAAGAGGGACAGATTGTAGCTTTATTTAATGTTAACCAGTGGCGCTTTAAAAGGTGGCAGGTGTGTGTTGAGTCCTTCGTGCCGACAAGGCGGAGCATGGGCTCCGTAATTCAGCAAACCGGTTATTGGACCATGCCTTGTCGCAAAATAAGAATTGCAACGACATCAGACTTGTGCAGCCACATTATCTCAGTTGTTTTTAACTTATTCTGTGTAAAATATATAGTTTTTGTATGGATTTTTGGTCACAATAATGATGGAGAACGTTTTGAAATTATTTGTCTTGGTCTCATTTTTGATTTCAGTAAAACTTGATGTTTGAACATGGGTATGGAGGCTTTTTATATACCATATATACATGTAACTCACCCGGAACATGATCTCCACTTTGGCAATACTTTTGACAAATATGGTCCCTAGCTGGTCACCAACCCCTGCCAAGAGGAATCCAAACAATGGGATGCCAAATATTGCATATAGAATGCAAAAAATCTTTCCTCCCTCAGTGCTCGGAGCGATGTTACCATACCCTATGAAAATAGGGAAGATAAGGTCAAGATGCATTTTTTTTTTCCCAGGTTAGATCTAAATCAGGGCCGGCTCACCCATTAGGCCACATAGGCAGGTGCTAAGGGCGCCAAGAACTCAAGGGGGCGCCAAAATAGGCATAAGGGGTATGAAAATCACCTTTCATATTAAGAATATTAGTTTCTAATAACTCTTGAATTGAACAAATAGTCGGCCTATGGAATCGAATGCAAAACAATGCCCAATTACTGTAATATGAAAAATATAATTTCTACGACAGCAATAACGCCTACTTCCCTCTACCGCCCTCTTTTGGCTGATGGGTGTCTCTGACAGACCCGATGGTGAAATCGTCAATTAACGTTTTTATTTTTATGTAACGGGGCCGCAAAGGCGGGTGGCGTCTTGAAATATTTTTTTGAAAGTAACTGTACTCAATATGGTGTGTACTTTATACTGGCCTGATGTATGCTTTTATTATTTGATGACAACATTTACATCTGCATTGCCTATATGCCTGATTTTTTTTCCCCCTACTGTTAATCGTCAAATGCATTTTCCCTTTTCACTATATACGTCAGGTTTTTGATCCTAGTTGTGCCATCTGAAATCGTCTAAAGCACGTTAACTGCTTTAACCGTTGCATTAAACATTGTTAGGAATCAGAATGATCATTCTTTTTATCGCTATTAGCATGAGTAGTACACCCTCAACTTTACTGTTATTACCACATGCCATTTTAAATTGCAGTAAATTGCCAATCTACATTGCGACTGAATATTGCACATGCATTACAGAGAATATTTTTCAATTTTGTTTTTCGTAAACCTTTTTTTTGGGGGGGGGTGTGGGTGTATTTATAATAAGCGACAGAGGGGGCGCCAGAGAGGTATCTTGCCTAGGGCACCACATTGGCTCCGCCAGCCCTGATCTAAATGTACAGTTTTCTTGAGTTAAGCATGTTACAAAAAGACACTTTAGAACATTTCATTGTACCTATGGTGGTGATAACTGTTCCAGCAAAGAAGAAGGCACTACCCAGATCCCAGTGGCTAGAGTTATAGGAGGTATCACCAACAGGATTCACACCGGCGTTCACAGCATCAACAGAGTGCTGCGAAGAGAATCCAAGAGAGAGTCACGTCATATTCAATATTTTATTCATTTTGAAAATGTAGAGTATTTTGTTCTTGTTATTGTGTGGGACTCACAGCTGTACCGCTTTGTGAGGGTGTGTATGAAATCTCTCATTACCTCATGATTTGATTCACAGGGCTACAATTTGATTCACTGGGTTATTAGATTATCGATGTCTTAAACGAATGCATAACTTTTACATTTTGTCCTAACGTGAGACGATTAAACCACGCTTGTAGTAGCCCACATTTCCATGCCTAAAATAAAATAATAAAACGTTTGCTTCGGTGATCCTTTAGTCACATAAATTCGGGAGGATGTATGTATTAAAATGTAACCAATAAAGCATTATAATTTTTTTTTTAACCAAAACAGTGGTGTTTCGATTGCTTGCCTTCAAATGATTGAAACAAAAAAAAATAAAACCATACCAACAATGTTTCTAATTTAGATTACAGTGAGGAACATTTATTTACTTGACGCTCTAAATCCCCGCAACTCGAAACAAGATGTGTGGAACAGAAAACAAATGGATAATCAATAAGAGCATCATGATGTTACAATACATCACCATCTCATAAAAATTGCTATAAAAGGCTTGTCTTTGAGGCAAGTCTCCGGACAATAATAAAATTAATTAATTATCGTGGCCTTCAATAATTGGTCTCGAGGGAAATGGTGTAATATGGTATCACATTATTTAATGCAGTGACAGAGCCCTGGTTTCAAAAGATACTCTAATTTTCAACAAAAAATCCTGTACATGGGAATTACGGGACATACAAACTCAGAACATGAATTTTCAAACACGGTTGAAACTGAGGGACTATGGTCTTATGTTTTTGCACAACGAATGCACTGTTGGAGAGGCGTTAGCAATGTCATATCCGCTTCGCCATATGGACACAAGCATTGGAACATCCAGCCATCCATCCATTTTGCAATCCGCTTTATCCTCACAAGGGTCGGGGGGGGGGGGGGGGGGGGGGGGGTGCTGGAACCCATCACAGCTGTCATCGGGCAGGCGGGGTCCACCCTGAACTGGTTGCCAGCCAATCGCAGGTGCACACAGAAATGTTTTTGAAATGTGGGAGGAAACCGGAGCACCCGGAGAAAACCTACGCAGGCCCGGGGATACATGCAAACTCCACACAGGGAGGCCGGAGCTGGGATCAAACCCACGACCTCTGCACAGTGAGGTCGATGCGCTAACCACTGGATGACAAGGCCAGCATTGGAACAGTGAATTTGAAATAGGCTTCAGTTCACCTGTGACCCTAAAAGTAAATAAGCGGTACAGAAAATGGATACATGGGCATTGCTGCATCTCGTATTATCAACTATTTGTGGGATTTGTGTGTAGAAGAGGCATTTGTCAACTCTGTAACATAAAACTGGAATCTTCTTCACCCATTCTGTTTGTCAGATTTACGGAAAGAATTGGACTCCAGAAATGTAAACTCGAAAAGAATTGACAAAAAAGGTTTATTAACAAAACTAGGTCGCAAGACCAACAAAGTTCAACAAAGAACGCAGGTACAACACCAGGAAAAAGAGACAACCAAAAAAAAGGCAAGGTTAAATAAATAAAGAAAAATTGCTTGTCAATAAATACACAAGAAGAAACCCAAAGGCGTATAACACAGAAAACGTGAGTGGTCAGGCAGAATGTTCTCAGGTTTGGGTCTATCCCCACCGGGTCGTGGATCCGGGATGTGTTGGTCTTCATGTTCTTGGATCCTTTAGAGTAGGTTAGCATGAAGTTGTACCTAGTCAGGAGTAGTGCTTGGTATGAGTTCAGTCTCTTGGCTGTTCAAATATAGGCGGGGTCTGTGTATACGGTGAACAGTTCCTTCGAGCCAGTGTCTCCATTGCTGGAGTGCGAGAATGATGGTGAAAAGTTCTCTATTGTCAACGTTGTAGTTGGCCTCCGCAGGACTGATTCTACGAGAAAAGAAGGCGCAGGGATTGAGTTTCTGGTCGACTTGGGAATGAACACTGGGACAATACTGCCCCCACTCCTGAATCAGAAGCATCCACTTCTACAATCAATGAGAGTTCAGGATTAGGATGGTGTAGCACGGGATGATTGGTAAATGCTTTCTTGAAATCATGAAACACTAATTCTGCGCTAGCGTTACATGTGAAAGGGGGTTAATAGATGTAAGCCATGTTAGCGGCAATGCTGCAGAGGCTCTTAGGTGGATCTCGCTGTTTCAGGAACAGTGCGGCACTCTTACTTGGTCCTTGTTCCCGTCGTCTCTCTCTGAGTCAGTTGTCCAGTCTGATTGCAAGACCAATGAAGTTCATCCAATGGAGCAGAGTCGTCATGGACGGTCAGTTCATCCCTTAATGAGGAACTCAGACCATTGAAGTCACTTGTGAAAGGTAATTGAGTAGTCTGCGACAGGACGACTACCCTGCTTACAGTCAAGTAATTCCCGGTCTCCTTCCCTTGCACAAGGTGGTGAAAAACCCAACGAAATTTGGCTGAAGACTCAGGAAAGGAAGACCGGAGGGCAGAACGGGCGTTGTTACGGCTATGGCCCAAAAGCTAGCTTGGCCAGTCAAAAGACTCATTGGATTCGATTGGATACAACTTTATTGTCAAATGTGCTGTATGTGATGAGTAGGATGTGGTAGGAGAGGTTTGTGAACATGAACCATGGGTGAGGATTCGGAGATGGAGTGGTTTGGGAGCAGAACTGCTCCACTTGTGAACCCAAATCCTTGCACCTGTGAGCCAGCAAGGCGACCACACTGCGGAACCCCGTGATCGTGGATTCCTGCTGTCCCACCAATTGACCTTGGTTGGCCAGCGCTTGCATGATCTTTTTCAAGTTCACAGAGTCCATGGTGGTCAGATAATTCTGTCAGGTTTCACGAAAGCTCCGGACAGATTTGGACTGCAGAAATGTGAACTCGGAAAGAATTGACAAAAAAGGCTTATTAACAAAAACTGACTGAAAATGTTCAACAAAGAATGCTGGTACAACACCAGGAAAACAGGACAATGAAAAACGTTGGAAAAAAAGGGCAAGGATAAAAACATAAACGGGAATTGCTTGTCAATCATAAATAGGCGAAGAAACCCAAACACGTATAATACAAACACCGTGACTACAACTAAAACAAAAAAACTACTTATAAAGGTAAGTGCAGAAAACCTGGCAGGAACAAAAACGAAGAGCAAGAACATGGAACGTCTAGAGTAGACCGTGGGTTGACAACCCGGGGCTCCAGAGCCGCATGCGGCTCTTTAGCGCCGCCCTAGTGGCTCCCTGGAGCTTTTTCAAAAATTTTTGAGAATGGAAAAAGATGGGGGAGGGAAATATATTTTTTGTTTTAATATGGTTTCTGTAGGAGGACAAACATGACACAAACAATGTTTTCCAATGCTGTAAAAATGTGTACAATAAATATGAAATTTTAACATTTCTGTCAGCAAAGATTTGTGTCACATGTTTCTATTAGTAGGACGGGATGCCAGGCAGGTAGCTGTTGTAAAAAAAACAGCGCTTGCTGTCCAATTCACCGAGGGTACTGGCAAAGAATGGGAACCTGGAAGGCTGAGAGAAGCATTTGTAAACGGTACATGTGAGCTACGATAGTTAACCCGCTGCAAAAGTTGTCTCGTTCATCTTAGGAGCCGTTATGGCTGTTGCTTATTATGGCATGCGTATGTAAGTCCGTGCATATGCGCTCATGCGGTAACGGGTCGATCTCGGCAGGCTGGTTGATCGAAAAGTAGATCTTCGGGCAAAAAAGGTTGACAGAATGCATTTCAGGGAAACAAAACATTTAATCAAGAAGGCTCATGGTGTATTTGGAGCCAATTTAGTCATTTTGATAGTGAGCTAATATAGCTAAATGTAGATACATACAGCATGAGTTGCCTTCATTATAAGGCTTTTATTTTTTTGCAGCTCCAGACTTGTTTTTTATTTGTTTGGTCCAATATGGCTCAACGTTTTGGGTTGCCGACCCACTAGATTAAACACAGTATTCTGATTAATATTGAATTAACATTAATCAGAATCCGAATTAAACAGCAAAATCTACCCGTTTTTGTCCATCTCAGAGGGAGGCCATTTTGCCACTTTCTGACTGAAAATGACATCATGGTTGCTCAATTTCTATACCAAAAACGCAATATTAATCCGAATACTGTGTTTAGATTACTGGGCAGGATTGTACATATTATTATAAAGAACATTTTTCACTTCAACTTCCCCTTTAATTTCATTGAAAAATATGTCTTACATAGGCAGAGAGGTTTTCCCGTCACATCATTTAGCTGGCGCTTTTTTAATGCGGTATTAAAAGTTGTTAAAGATGCAAAATAAGGAAGGGAATTCAGATCATCTTTTCATTCATTATTCATCCATCCATCCATTTTCCCATCCGCTGATCCTCACAAGGGTCGCAGGAGGTGCTGGAGCCTATCCCAGCTGTCTTCGGGCAGTAGGCGGGTGTGTACAGTCGACACCATGAAGCGGTTGCCAGCCAATCGCAGGGCACACACAGACACCATCCTCGCTCACACTCATAACTAGGGACAATTTGAAGTGTTCAATCAGCCTGCCATGCATGTTTTTGGAATGTGGGAGGAAAACGGAGATACCCGGAGAAAACCCACTCAGGCTTGGGGAGAACAAGCAAACTCCACACAGGGAGGCCGGAGCTGGAATTGAACCAGATACCTCTGCACTGTGAGGTCGATGCGCTCACCACTGGACCACCGGGCTCCACTATTCAGTAATAGGAAAAAAAATCCCAATTGGTTGCGAGGAATACACTCCGGGGTAGAGTGTAATAAATAAATGTGTCATACATATTTAACATGTACAATTACTATGATGTGTACAGTCGAACCTCGTTACAATGTACCTCGAGGGACATAACAAATCTGTACATTATAACGGTTGTAACCATTTCCAATAAAATGTCCGCCAACCACGATGTATAATACACTATGAACATGTGTAGATGTAAAAACATGAACATGTAATACACTTTAAACATCTCAATCACAAATATGTGTGGATGAAAAAAATCTTATTTTATAAGACATGAAATAAAACTATTGTAGCGTTCCGACGTCATTTCTGAAAAAAAAAAACAGTCTGCGAATGTTCCCCGCCATAGGCAACTGCCAGTGCCGTCAATTTACGTCGTCTCGGCTGAGCTTCCTTTCGAAAGTGAGAGACAATCTCAGCCTTTACAGACAGCGAATTTGCTTCCGTTTAAGCAGACATGTTTTCAGACCATGTCGTAGTACCGCGCCGTGCCTCCGTGAGTTACGGCAGAAAGTACAACAATGTGCCGAGTCGATCAGGGGCGTTGCTAAGCAACATAGGCTAATCACGCACTGTACATTTTGTTCGTAAACTAGGTCGCGGCGTAAATTAGCTTCCCACGGTTCGTTTTAACCAAGGCGTTTTCACCATTTTGTGGGGAAAATCTGGTCGCTATAATGAAGTTTACGTTATAAAGTTAGTTGTAAGCAAAACCGGCAAATGGAAAATGAATCATGGGAAATACAGACAGAGGCTGTGAACGTTCGAGGGTTGAAAACGTTATTGGGGTACGTTGAAATGAGGTTCGACTGTTTTGACATACACGCTATAAACTGTTGACAGCATTTTTATTTATAGCTCTTTAACTGTTCAAACTGACTGCATTGTACAATATCATGCATGTACACAATGGATTTGGGTTTTTTTTAGATGCAAAATACATCGTGGGTGAATTCTAATTCATCATCATCAGTTTTATTATTCATCACTGTCACTATGATATTTTCTCTTTGCACTTGTTATAGCATAAGTGGACTATATTTATAGTTTTATGATTTACCTCTTTGCTTTAATTACCAGGAGAAGTAAATGTTTCTTGGCTCCCCCTGAAATGCTGATTTTGTATTATTATTTTTTCTTTTCACTTTGTTGGTTGCTAGTATTTTGGTGTTAATGTGAATATTGAGTACATATTTATATCACATTGCACGTACTAAAATAAACTAGTGGCATACACACACCCCTCCTAAAGTGAACTGTGCGTCGGTTTTGTACATTTGAGAGAAACAACTGTGGTTGTGTCGAGTTAGTAGGGAGCTTCCGCGCCGACTTGTATGAGCAATCAATTTGCACCCGCTTTTGCATGTGCTAACCTTCATTAAATCAAACTCTAGGTTTCCAAACAGACAACAAGCAAGACAGACAGACACTCATAGAAAGGCTGATTTATGTAACAAACCAGTTTGAATTCTAAGCCATGTCTGTAACTAACCAAAGGAGACGGCAAATGGTACACATCCCAAGTCTGAAAAGGAGTTTATAAATACATCAAAAGATGACATGAAGCAAATGTGCTTGGGGCTGTCGCAGCAACAGGAAGTTACACAGCTATTTTCTACTGTTTATTGTGAGACTATGACTCACAGAAAACAAAGCACCAGATTTGAATTTCTTTCTTCCAGTCCTATACCGGGACTAAGGAATGAGTGGATTATAAAATGACAGGCCTTCAATTCATGACACATTTTCACAGACGGAGTGAAAAAGTATGTTATGTAAAAAGTACCACAGGGTTGCCTGAAGACATCTGTCACCATATCACATCCTGGCATATCTTAAAAAGGAAAGAACCGTGTAACAAGCGCCCAGGTGGAATCAAAGAATCACAGGGCGCATCGCCTCCTCAGCTGCTATGACTGACAGAGTGAAAACTCTTGATTTTGACAGTGACACCACTTTTGAAATCTCCACCCACTTATCTACAACACCCATCCCTGTTTGCTGTACATCTGAAGGGCACCAGTAATGCTTGCAGCTTCCAGACAATATTTTCGTTTTAATGATGTTTTAAAAAAAGAAATGGCCTTTTGCACATTATTTGAATTTTCAATCCATTGACTAATTGAGTCATTTTAATTAAAACGAAAGTATTCCCAATTTTGACTCAACGGTGTAAATGTGGCCTTCATGTAATTTCATCCCTAAAAAAAAAACAAACAAACACTTGCACTTAACAGAAGGTGAAGTGTGGTTTTATCGAATTACAGAACGACAGTACGATGTGTTGAATGGGGTCAGATCAATAGGGGAGCTCAGCTTCCAGTTGCTTTAATTCCCTCTCGGGACCCCATTCAGCGCTGAGGTAAAACTGGAGTATCGATTTGTGTCTGGTCTTACTTTGATGAGAGCCTCGAGCTCATCTGGGGACACGCAGGGATGCTTTTGCAGGAACGCCGCCTTTTCTGCCGTGATGGTGATCTTCTGGTTGTTTTCAAATGGCTGCTCGAGTGCTTGGAACACCAGTCCTCCCGCCACCAAGTAAGCCACCACCACCACGAAAACCGCCAGCACCGTCTTCAGTTTCATCATGGTAAAAGGAGCCGCGCCGTCAGCTACTGCCTCCATGCTGGCTACCATGCTCGTGGGCCGGGAGATGGAGAGTCGGGGCAAAGAGCATCCCATTGGGTTCTGCATAGTTGCCACACTGGCGTGCACCAGACTGGATTGAAGCATACCCGGTTGCATCTTTTTGGGTGGGACCAAATTAGTCTGAACTGCCACTGGAAGAACAAAAAAAGGAGTAAAAAAAAAAAGTGTTGAACAATGTGATATGTAACGGATAAGCTTCACATTGGCATAGTTTTACATTTCAAGTGTATGAATGGATGGATAGATGATGTGGCAAACAACATTAACCTTTTCAGGCACAGCGGTTACTACAGTGGACATCATGTTATCATGTTACAGGATGCATGAAAGGGTCAATATGCTTGCAGCAGTCCAAAAAAAAAAAAAAAAACCCCTGACTACTATAACAAATCCTCCCTGTATTTATTTTCTCCTGAGAGCTCCCACAAAACAATAAAATGCACACAAAAGCATCCAGTAACTGCCTTAAGATCAACGCATTTGTCTTCTGTAAATTCTCACCTGAAGAAAATTGTGTGAGGATAAAATTACACAATTAAGTGCAAGTACTCCAACTCAATAGGGAGAAGCATTTCATCTAAAAACAGTTTGTAAAAAAAAAAAAAACACAAGTTGTTTTGCTGTCCCAGCGCTTACCTGTGGTCGCTTTGAATGTTGACCGAAAGAATAGGAGCGCTGACAAAAGAGGCTGAAATGAGTGACCTTTCTATCAGTGCACGTGTCCTGCCTTGTGTTTGTAAGTGCGTTACACACACCATGTGTCGTACTCAAGAAAAATGGTGACAACATGGATAGGTGCAGCCTTCTTCATCTTTTTTTTTTTTTTAACCTACAATGACTCGCTACCACCTCTTGAGGATTAAATCTGAATCAATCTAAAGACGATAACAAGCCATCCCTTAAAAAAAAAAAAAAAAATCAAAGAAATGTTCATTTCGCCCAAAAGGGTTCAAATGCAGTAGTATAGGCAGCGTGTTGCTGAATATCACACCTATCAAAACCACATCTGCCGAGTAGACCGTGTCACAAATGCAGTGGAGGTGTTGATTGTCTCCGCGCATCACCAAAATCACAGCAGAGCAACTGAATATTTCTATCACCTGTCTGCATTTCCTGTCATGCCAACGATATGGTGAATTGGAACCACTTTGCCACATACCAGTGACACCGACCATAACTGTTCAATTGTTTCAAGTTATGTAACCATTCAATTGCAATGTGCGGAGAATGCTGGCCAAGCTGCAAAATTTCACCTTTTTCAAACAGACACTTCAAAAAGAGACCAAACAGTTTAAACTCATCAAAGTGATCATGCCAGACATGCTCCGGCTACTATGATTAAGAGAGTATGTTGACAATATATCAGTCTGCCGCAACTGGATGAACACGGAGATGCTGTGATGGGACGTGACAGACATGCAAGATTTGAGGAGGATCTGCCTCTAGTGGGTGAGGTAATGCAAAATCCAGAACAACAGTGGAAATCCCTCCACTGCGCCACACCGAAGCAATAGGTTTTTCCAAGAACAATTGTCTTCTCACAAATTGAATATGCTTCCCTGTATGAACATATTTATCACCTATATAAATAGTTTTTGTTTTAATACAACTGATTTGCCACAGCTATTGACCATCAACTTCGCCATGCAGGCTAAATCTTCACTGCTGTATTTCTCTATTAATTTTTCATGAGCAAACCTGCCGTAGCCACGGTGTACAAAAATACTCAGGGCTGCACATGAGGGATGTTATCAACATTGCACAAAGGCAGAGCTTCACACTGCAGCACTTTGAAAATAGGGATGCGGTGGAAGGAAGTTCAGATAAAAGAATCACTTTTGAGGGACTTTCTATTTGCATACGGGTGAACAAAAAAAAACGATGAAATGACAGTCCAACCTGGTGACGGGCTGTTCCCTGGTTTTCTTGGATTTTCACTGGGAAATTTCATCTTGGTGGTCCAGGCTCCAGACGTTTCTACGAGGAAAATATCTCTTTAATCTCTCGGCGCCCTTTCAGTCTTGTGCGTTGCTTTTAACCGAGAGAGAATCGAGAACGGCAGCGAATAAAAACACATCCTCCACGGTGAGAGCGTCTTGCTGTGGTGACTTGGGGGAGGCTTGTGAGATGCCGCTCCTATTCCTTCTCCTTCACCTACGGCGCACACCCACTGCATCAAGCATCGGGGGACTCGGGAGTAGATAAACAACGTTGCATGGACTCGAGGAGAAGACGGCGCTCCGACGAGGGTGGGTGGGGGGCGGGACGTACGCTTACATTTTTGCGGAATTTTTACGTATACGTCGTGATGTGCTGCTGCACCGCATCCCCTGAGGTAGCCGCATACAGCTTGGAAAGAGCAACACTAGCTGGCGTCGCAGCGGCGGTGCCGAGAGCATATGCGTAATACCATCTGATGTCAAATCGTGAAAACATTCGTTCCTTGAAGCGGAGGAGAGGGTGGGTGAGACAAAGGGCACAGGGAGGAAAAGGATGGATGTGAAGTGAGGAAGAAAAAAAGATTTCGAGAAACGATTACGACAGACAATCATTCACACTACTTACTTCTTAATTAATTACACTTAATTACTTCTTCCTACTCCCTTGAACATAATAACTGTGTTGAATGATGACTGATTTCTCTTTCCTTTTTACTATTTTACTTACCTTGCTTTCTGTCAAATTATTACTGTATATGTTTTATGTTCAACAAACAAACGAAACGAAAACGAAACACTGAATGCGTCTGAAAAATGTGTGTGTGTGTGTGTGTGTGTGTGTGTGTGTGTGTGTGTGTGTGTGTGTGTGTGTGAGAAGGCAGACACATAAACTTTACTAGACAGTAATCCCTCGTTTATCGAGGTTAATGGGGACCAAAACCACCCGCGATAAACGAAAATCCGCGAAGTAGCGACCAATTAACATAAACAGGTAAAGCATTTTTTTTTTGTTTAAGTCCGCAAAAAGTCCGCAAACGGTCCGTAAGAAGCTGCAAAACAACAGCGAGTCACATAGAGCAACATATACAGCACTGTACTCCATGTATATAAAAAAAATATATATATAT